ATTGACAGTAACCGTGATTCCTTCGTCATTCTCAAAAAAATACGGGCCTATGACACCACCAGACCAAAATGCACACCAGACAGTCACTTTTCCAGGATGCATTGGCCTCTCCTGAGACACTTGTGGGTTTTCACTTCCCCAGATACGACAATTCTGCTTATTTACGTATCCACCGAGCGAGAAATGAGCCTCATCGCTGAAGAAAATTTTGGTTGAAAAATCACCGTCCACGGCCTGTTGTTCCAGCACCCAATCGGCGTATTTTCTACGCATTCGATGGTCAACAGGTTTCAATTCTTGCGTCAGTTGAACTTTATAAGGATGGAAGTGTAAGTCCAAATGCAAAATTCGCCATAATGAGCCGTACGACAAGCCCAAATGCTGAGCACGCCGTGGAATCGATAAATTTGAGTCGTCCGCCACACTTTCACTAACTGCAGCAATGTTTTCGGCAGAACGTGCGTTGCGATGATGCACGGGCCTTACAATATCAGTGACCGATCCAGTTTTTTCGAATTTCTTCACTATTTTGCCCACAGTTTGCTGGGTTGGTCGATTAAAGCGACCAAAATCTCCTCTTAAAGCGCGAAACGTGGCCGCGGGAGAATCACCGTTTTTGTAGTAAGTTTTTACAATTTTAATGCGATCTGCAGTTATTAAACGATCCATATCGTAAAATGGTAGAGCTTCAATTGAACAAATGTCACTTTTGTTTACATTTATGTTTCACAGTTGTCAGATGGCGTGGTTGTACTTTTGAAACTACGAAATGGATAACCCTGTATTACTCTGGTACAGGAATTAAGTGAGGCCGACTACGTACTCAGAGTACAATTTTGTAGACGGGCTCTTGAGATGTTAGATCAGAATCCAGATTTTTTTAGTAATGTTTGTTTCATTGTGATGAAGCAACATTCATCAGCAATGGTAGTCTCAATAGGCATAATTGCCACTATTGGTCACCAGAAAATCCACATTGGTATCGTGAGGTGCTTAATCAACATCGTTGGAGTTTATATGTATGGGTAGGCATTTGCAATGGCCAAGTCATTGGACCTCATTTTTTTGAACGTCCAATTAATAGTCCAATGTATTTAGAATTCCTCGAAAATGATTTGCCAGCATACCTAGAGAATGTTCCCCTTGCAGTTAGACTAAATTTATGGTATCAACAAGATGGTGCTCCTGCTCATTATGCTCGTATTGTACGGATGTTTTTGAATCAAAGGTTCCCAAATCGGTGGATAGGGCGGGGTGGACCAGTTCTGTGGCCTCCGAGATCACCGGATTTGAACCCCCTTGATTTCTTTTTATGGGGATACGTTAAAGATGCAGTGTATAGTGAAGCTCCAACGACAAGATTGAATATGATGGAAAGAATAAGAAGAGCTTGTGAAGCTATAACTCCTTTAATGCTAGAAAATGTACAACGTAACTTTCGCTGTCGATTACTGTTATCCTTAGAAAATAATGGTGCACACTTTGAGCATTTCCTCCATGCGGAGAGAGCTGATAACAATGCAATCTTGCCATAACTGGTTGGGTCACCACACGACCTTGCCTTCACTGGCTGGGTTACCACACGTTCAAGCACCCCGAATTGTGAGAGGCGAGGGGACTCACGTTAATCAAGCACCCCGAAGGGAACAGAAAACTGCTACGTCCACGTCGTTGTTCCTGGGTTACGCTAAAAGCAGTTTCTTGAGAAGTAATTAATAAGTAATAAAAAATAATGTGAAGTTTGTTTCAAGACTAATTTCGAGTATTAACAATGAAAACGTAGTATTTTTATTGTTAATTTATTGCAGAATCGTAAGCATGGGTTCTTAGTAAGAGAAATCGAAGAAATTGAATTTCGTCGATTACAGCACCATCTGTCATGAATCGAAAAAAATGTTTCAGACAAATTGTATGTGTTTTTAGCCAAAGATTCCGAATATTCAATAAAAAATAGGGGTTCCCATTTAAGATTTCAAACTTGCCCCCCCTCACCACCCAGGGGGAGGGGTGGGGGGGCTGATTTTAACGTCATTGTACGTACCCCTCGAAATGACGAAATTTTGATTCTAACCATTTTTTCGTAGTGTGCTTATTTTTCGAGTTATTTGGCTGCCTAAGTTAAAATGGGTCACCCTGTATATACATATATATATATATATATATATATATATATATATATATCATACGTATGTGCGCACATGCACACATATGATTTTGTCACTTAAAGCATTGTACATATCGAAGCAATAATCGTATGCAGCGATGTGAACGCCGCTTGAGGGACAAATTCGCTTTGCGTGTGTGCGTGCGAGCATATGTACGTGAGATACTGGAAATGAAGGAAAACGAAAAATGTCACAATTCTGATATTCGATCATCATTTCTCAGGATTGACTGCACCGATTTTGTTCAAACAGGTCGCAATCGAAAGCATATATTCACATTTTATAATAAAAGTGTCGTTAGATTTTTGATTACGGCTTTAGTTTATTAAATACTTAACCGAATGTTTACTTGACGCGAAATTCCGGATAAGGTACTTGGTAGCGCCGCGTCGAGAGCAGTGACTCTCAACTCAATGCTTGGAACTCAATGCTTGGACTTGTTTTTTATGTACTTGGCGTCGCGATGCTACCGCGTCGCTTGATAAACTGCTTGTTCATTATAACACTGTTACATTCATCTATGAAAAGAATCACACAACAGGATATATCTCAGCATATATGCAGATCAAAATATGAATATGAAAGAACCTGCTTTGAACTTTAGACATATCATTACTATCGTATAGCTTTTGTGTCACTTCCTGCACACAAAATTCGATGTTTTGTTTATTCACATTGTCATCTTTTATCAAGGACGAAGTAGTGCGACTCTCATTTCAAGCTTACCTATCGTGACTTAAGTTCAAAAGAATTTGATTTGTTTTCTCAATTTTTTAGATTGACCTTCAAATAAAATCTTGTCATTTCGTTATCTATTATTTGTATTGTTCTGTAACTAACGTATTATCTTTTGATATTATGATATTAATTTTTTACCAGAAACAGTTGCGTTTAAACATGAAGAAAACCGCGGTTCTCTCTCTCTCTCTTTCTCTCTCTCTCTCTTGGCTTTTTTGAACGTGAACGTGTGTCACATCGCTCCGTATAAATCATAGTTTGTACTGCGGTTTAAGAGAGCTAATGGGAATATGAGTTTTCACAGTGGTGCTGGGATTGATCCTGAACATTATTGTGCGTTACCTGGTCGAGATGTGCTGATTGATGTGAGAAAAACGTTAATTTTCGTGTGACATTACAACGCGCGGAAGACAGGTGTCGATCAAAGTGCGTGGATGACTCAGCAAACGCGGACGCTAAAGTAACTAATTCGTGGAAGACGCTGGGATTCATCATTATCGAGATTATCAGTCGGTAATGCGGATATGCTACATCTCGAGTACGCGAAATATCGTTGCTCTGCGTGTAAGAAAGAAATAAAAAACGTTGTGCAGCAGTGTACAACGTGTACGAAAGCTTTCTTTCATCTTGGGTGCATTTTCAGGAATAAAATTCTCAAGAGGGATGAATTGGTGAAATGCGAAGGTCCATTTAAAGAAATCGAAAACGAGAGTGATAAGGTTGAAATGAGGAAAACGCGGACGGTGAGCGGGGGTAGAGAAAGATTGGGATCGACAGGATCAACGGGTTCGAGGGGAGCAACAGTGACTTCATCAGGTGCGAATAAACAGCAAAAGGAGAGGAAAAATTGATTGGTTAGTAAATACAGTGAAGGAAATGGGAGACGAAGTAGCTTATAAGAATGAAATCAAGACGATGATTACGCAGATTATTAGAGAAGAATTGGAAACCTTTAGACGAGAACTTGAAGAAGTAAAGAGAAATATACAGGAGAAAACCACAGAAAGAATAGGAAGTTACAGTGAAGCAGTAAAAAATAAGAAGAAAGAAAGCATTTTAATCGTACAACCGAAGAGAGAGCAGGAATGTGAAACTACCAAGAAATTGGTAAAAGAGAAAGTAGATATAAAAAAGCTGGATGTAGGAATAACAAAGTTGAAGAAAGTAAATAAAGGATCGATTATTCTTGGATATGAGAGCGAGAGTGAAATGAAAAAGCTGAGGGATACAGTGCATGAGAAGCTAGGTGATGACTTCAAGGTCATAGAACCGAAAGGAATAAAACCGAAAATAAAAATTGTAAATGTTGGAGAAGAAGAAATACAGCTGGATGATGAAGTCTTAATTGATACAATCAAGAAACAAAATAAAATTGAAGAAGAATTCTATATAAAAATAGTGAAAAGGATGGTTAAAGGTAGGAGTGACGATGATTCCCGTGTTGGAGATGGAAAAAAAGAGGACGGTTCCCTAATACTGGAGGTAGATGAAAGGACGCATGAGCTAATGCTGAAAAGAGAGAAAATAAATATCGGATGGAGGAAATGTCCTGTGTTTGATCATTACAGTGTTAAGAGATGTTTTAAATGCTGAGGGTACTACCATATTGCTAAAAATTGTAAGCGAGAAGAAACATGTCATAAATGTGCTGGAAATCACAAAGTAAGTGATTGTAAGGCAACAAAGATGAGATGTGTTAATTGTATGCACAAGATTAAAACGTAAAACTTGAAGATAAATGACGAACATGATGCGTTAAGTAGAAAATGTCCGACTTTCATCAGAGCATTGGAGGGGGAGAAAAAGAGAGCTGGCTGGGAGTCTAATAAGTAGCAATCATGGAAGGAATCAATTGTATACACGAATTCGCAGAGTGTAAAGCCTTGTTTACATTGGACGTAGGACGTAGACGTAGACGTAGACGTAAGAATTGGAAAGATAGGAATAGCATGTTATCGTCCATATTGAAACTTAAGCGCAGACGTAGCCGTAGACGTAGGCGTAGAATTTTAAAATTTTTAATATTTTTCTACGTCCAGCCAATCACAAGAGGGATGCCCGGTGTATACCATTTGCGCGGACACTTAACCTCTAAACTGTACCACGATTGATATATTCACTTTTATAAAATGTATGAAATTGAAAAATTAGAATTATTAAGATTTTCTTTAATTTTCACTGCAGTGGGTATGATTTTAAGATCTTTGCAAAAAAAAAAGTTCATAACAAGCGACGATGGTGGGTTCGTCCGCTGTTGAGAAATCGGGTAAAACGGAGCCAATATTATATATTGTTCCAATATATAAAAGAAAAAGATGATGAACAATTTTTTAAGTACACTCGAATGACAGTCAACCAATTTGAAAAGTTGCTGGATATTGTTAAACATAGATTAATAAAAATCAGTCCAAGAAAGCCATTAAGTCCGGAGTTTCGGCTGGTTATGACATTGTAGTGAGTATTATAATAAATATATTTTTCAGATTTTTATTCTTGAGTTAAGCATATGTTATTAGATAATTATACGTATTTGTTTAGTTATCTTGCCCATGGACCGAGCATGCAGGTAGTTGCATGGAGCTTCTGTGTTTCCAAGTCCACAGTCAGCAACGTAATACGAGAGACTTGTGCAGTTATCTGGGATGAATTATCCCCAATTTACTTAAAACCACCAACTACTGAAGAATGGGAAATTAAAGCAACGGAGTTCTGGTATCGCTGGAATTTACCTAATTGTTTTGGTGCGATGGACGGGAAGCATATAACGATTCAAGCTCCAAAAAAATCGGGTTCGCAGTATTTTAACTATAAAAAAACGTTTAGTATAGTTCTAATGGCAGTTTGCGATGCTTTTTATTTGTTTACACTTGTTGATGTCGGTGCTTTCGGATCTCAAAGCGACGGTGGCATTTTTAAAGAATCGGCATTTGGGAAAGCTATGGATAATAATGAATTAGGCCTTCCAGGTTCTACCAATTTACGTGGAACTAATATCGCGTTTCCGTATTTTGTGGCTGCAGACGAAGCCTTTCCACTTAAGCACTATATAATGCGGCCTTATCCCGGAACAAATTTATCAGAAAAACAACAAATTTTTAATTACCGCCTATCACGTGCTCGACGCGTTATTGAAAATACCTTTGGCATTTTAGCCAGTCGGTGGCGAATTCTACATACTATTGTAACATAATTGCCAGTGTTAGTACAATTGAAAGAATTGTATGCGCTACATTATGTTTACATAACTTCGTTAAAATAGAAGAATTGTCAAGTAAGCAGCGTTATTATTGTCCAGATAATTATGTAGATCGTTATGATGATTCAGGATGTGTCATTCTTGGTGACTGGCGAGTAAACTGTCCTCAGATTGATGAATTAGGTCGCACAGGGACAAATCGTTCTACACGAGCGGATATTGATTTACGAAATACCCTTGCTGATTATCTTGTGTCGCCAGAAGGAAAAGTAGATTGGCAGTATAATTATGTAAAACGAGGAAGTTTTTAAAATGTATAAATATATTTTCAGATATTAACTATCAATATATATATGCATTTATCACAACATATAACAATACATACTTAGTGAGAAATGGTACAGCAAATCACATCAATTCGACGTACCATTTCTCACTGGATATATCCTTTCTTTGGTCTTGTGTTCAGCAAATCGTGATTGTTCTGTTGCTGTAACAAAGAAGTACAATTTGTATAATAAACAATATGTAAAAGTATGTAAATTTATGTAATAAACTATTTTTACTTTTTAAACTAATATTTATGACATATTATATACGTATCGTATACCTTAATTTTCCGAGTCAGACTCGAATTCATAGAGAAGTTGAGAAATTTTGAATTTCATGTCTTTCACTTTTGTCTTTGTCATTTTTTTCATCGATCCGTATAATGAAATGCAAAAATTCCAAAGAACATCATCTTTTGCATCGTCTCTTTTTACGATTGTTTTTTCTACGCCTTCGAGCATGGAGATAAGACGTTCCTCAGGAGGTAAAGGTTGAGGTTTCTTTTTCTTCTTTTGTTGATTTTCTATCTCCAACAATGGTCGTTTCTTATTGGAATCCAATTTTTCGGTACATTTCAAAGTTCCGTTGTCCCCTGTTTCCTCTTTTATATTTAACAGGTAGCTGCGAACATCTTCATCTATGAATTCTACTGATTCGTCCAATAAATCTAACTGAGTTTCTGGTGGGTTCTTGTCGATGTCGACATCAAGAATATTGTCTGAAAATTTATTCTTCTGACTGGCACTCAATGCTAAGTTACCAATTGTCCTGTACATAACATTATTCCATATATATTGCACTAAGTACAACAAAATAGAACATACTACAAAAGTTATTCTTACTTTCTATTTTGTACATGGGGTTGTAAAAATAGTAGGGTATTATATAAAGACCATTCAATCTCCTGGTTTTCTGACGATGCACCAGACCCAGAAGGAATGTTTGCTTTTTGCCTCCTAACCTTGCTGAAACGTTCTCTTAGAACTTTCCAACGTCGCATAGCATCTTCCGCTGCAAATAAATTAAATATTTTATTATTTTTTTATTAAACAATTCGACAAATTAAAACAACAATTGTAGACTTACAGCTGATATTCAATCGATCGCCAATAGACTTCCATGAATTATTGCAGAGTACCTTGTCTTTATAACCCGGTAATTTTTTATCGTATAAATGGGGATTACTCTCCACCATTAAAATTAACCGACGATCTAATTCTTCGCTCATCTTTTTTACTTCGTATTCGAAAATACAATCACTGATACTCGCAAAACAAACACAATAAACTTTCGAAATAAAAGTAAGGTTAAGGATGCAGCTCTATGATTGGTTATAAGGACCACGATCATTAGTCGAACATACTGAAAAGTACTTCAATGTTAACCACGAAGAATTTCTACGTCTGCGTCTACGTCTACGTCTATGTCTACGTTACGTCCTACGTCCAATGTAAACAAGGCTTAATGGCGCATAAAGATGAAATTCAAGACTATATGAAGAGGATGAATCTTGCAGTCATGGCGTTATCGGAGACTAGATTCATTGTGGAAATTGAAGACAGTGAAGTGAATGCACCGGGATATAGTTTAGTTAGATGCGATGGAGAAAATAGAAACACGGGAGGCGTGATGATTTATATAAGAAATGATATCAAATATGATGTAATAATAAAGGAAAAGATAGTATCAAATTGTTGGTGTGTAGCAGTACGAAATAAGAGATAGTATATATAAAGGCTTAATTATAGTAGTGTATCATTCACCGAGTGCGTCAGACGGCGATTTCTTAAGATTTATAAAGGATGTAGTGGATCTCTTAGTAGCCAAAGGTCAATGCATTATGTTAGGTGACTTTAATATAGACTTAATAGCGGACATGTTTTATGCAAAAAAGTTAGTAAATGAGATGTTGTGTTTGGGTATGAAACAATACGTAGACAAACCGATGAGGATTACAAAAAATAGTCAAACTTTGATAGATTTAGTTTTCGCAAATGCTAAGGTAAGCTGTGTATATGATAAGCCAAGGATAACAGATCATTTATGGGTAAGCGTTGAGCTCAATAAAGAGAGAAGTAATATTAAAGGAAAATATAGAGAATTTATTAGTAGAGATTACAATAAATTTCAGATAGATGAATTTTTATATGCAGTAGAGGAAGGATTAGATAGTAGAGTTAATTTAGAGGTAAACGAAAGAGCAGAGAAATTTGTTCAGAATATGGTAGCGGCGTTAGATAGGATAGCACCAATGAAAAAGTTGTTGTTGAAATTGAAAAGTTTAAAATTCCTAAGATGGGAAGGGAAAAAATGGTATACGGATGAAATAAGATTAGATGCAAATACAAGGGACGAAGCATATGCAAGAGCGGTACATACGGGCAAAGAACAAGATTGGTTACAGTTTAAAGCTGCGAGAAATACGGTAATCAAAACAATTAGAAAGAAAAAGAAAGAATTTTATGAGAACATGATAGATAATAATAAAAATGATCCTGTACTAATGTGGAAAACTTTAAAGGAAGTCATAAGAGGAGAGGCTACGGGTTCAAAAGAAATTAATAATGTAGATTTTGGAATATTAGAAAATGTAGAAGAATGTACTTTAGCGAATAAATTTAATATATTTTATATACAGAGCATTAATGACATAATAGAATCTATAGGAAAAAATTATAGTAAAAGTTCAAAAACTATTTATATTATAAAAAAGGTATAAAAAAGGTAAAGAGGTATAATTGAAAATTTTGAAGCGATAAATTTGCAGAAATTAAAACAAATTGTTATGGCCTTGCCACGGAAGCAAGGAACAGATGAGGGAATATCTAGTGATATATTAAAAATGAGCTTTCATGTGATAAAGAATGAACTATTGAAGGTTATAAATGATTCATTAATAAAAGGGGCATATTCGGAGGGATGGAAAACATCTACTATAATACCGATTCCTAAGATAGAAAAACCAAAGAAAGCAAGAAAGTGAATATAGACCAATTAATATATTACCTATTTATGAGAAAATTCTAAAATTAGTCGTAAAGGAACAAATAGATGAATACTTACATAGTAATGATATTATATCTGAACATCAATCGGGATTTAGAAAACACCATTCGTGTGAAACAGCGATACAAAGCGTCATTGACGATTGGAAGCTAATAATTAATGAAGGGAAAATGGTAGGAGTAATATTCCTGGATTTAAAACGAGCATTCGAAACGATGGATAGGACAAGATTGCTAGAAAAATTAGATCAATATGGAATGAAAGGAAGGGTACTAGAATGGTTTAGAACATATCTAAGCAACAGAACACAACAAGTTAAATTTAACAATCAATGGTCAGAATGTCTTAAAACGGAATATGGTGTCCCACAAGGATCGGTACTAGGGCCTTTGCTATTTACAATATATATAAACGATATAATAGAATCTTGTCCGGATGAGTGCAATATAAAAATGTTTGCGGATGATACATTAGTAAGCGGGGAAGGTAGTGAGGAACTAGAGAGGAAAATGAACATGGTATTTAACATAGTAGAAGTATGGATGAGTGTTAATAAATTGAAAATGAATGCGGGTAAAACAAAATACATGATAGTCAGAAGTATAAGAAAGGAACAGAGAGGTAATATTACGTTAAGATGCTCCGATGGAATTGAATTAGAACGCGTTGAAAAAATCAAATACCTTGGTGTAATTATCGATGATAAACTACAATTTAAGGACCACTGCGATTATATGCTTAAGAAAATAGGGAAAATGACTAGTTTTTTAAATAGAATAGGTAACTTCGTATCAGCGTACACTAGATGTATTGTATATAAGTCCATCATAGCACCTCATTTCGAATACTGTGCTACTCTATTAATCGGGATGGGAGGAACGCAAGTGAATAAATTTCAGGTAGCTCAAAACCGTGCCATGAGAGTCATTTTGCAATGCAATAGATGTACCAAAGTTGAGCATATGCTGCAGGCGTTGCAGTTTATGTCCGTAAGGCAACGATTGTATTATAACGTGGGTGTATTTATTTTTAAATCTTAAATAACATGGCATCGGTGGCGTTAAGTAACAAAATAGAAATAGTGGGAAGGGAATGTGATAGACAAACGAGACAGGCCGGAGACATAGTATTAACATTTCGTCGAACTAGAAGTGCGCAAAAAAGTCTGTTCTACGAAGGAATAAAAATGTATAATTCTTTACCCACCGAGATAAAGCAATGTGAAATATTAGTATCGTTTAAGAGACTGTTAAAAGAATATGTATTTAACAATGTATAGTAATTATGTATAGGAAAAATAGCTGAGAAAGCTAATAAAAAATCTCTCTCTCTCTCTCTCTCTCTCGCTCTACGCAAAGTTCTATGGAAAAAAAAATTGCTGCGTTCTTATCCTGATATTGCTGAAATATTTGTCCTGATAAGGCCGAAAAAGCAATTGATCGTCAATGATAACCTCGAAAGATGTTAATAAACAAGGTAAAATCATGATAAGATTATATGTATATATGTTTTCGCGCAAAGAATAAGTAATATAAAAAAAAATTGGCCTCTCTATATGCAAAGAAATTTTACTCGAGTTTAAAAACTATATATAATTTGTGTAGAGAATAGCTGTTATACAATTATTTTTGCAAATAATTGTTTCCGGAAGTCGGAAGAATATTTTGTTTCTTCTATTTTTTAAATAAAAATTTTCTTTAAAAAGAAAAATTTTCTTTTTGTCCGCTATTAAGTCTATATTAAAGTCACCTAACATAATGCATTGACCTTTGGCTACTAAGAGATCCACTACATCCTTTATAAATCTTAAGAAATCGCCGTCTGACGCATCGGTGAATGATACACTACTATAATTATGCCTTTATATATACTATCTCTTATTTCGACTGCTACACACCAACAATTTGATACTATCTTTTCCTTTATTATTACATCATATTTGATATCATTTCTTATATAAATCATCACGCCTCCCGTGTTTCTATTTTCCCCATCGCATCTAACTAAACTATATCCCGGTGCATTCACTTCACTGTCTTCAATTTCCACAATGAATCTAGTCTCCGATAACGCCATGACTGCAAGATTCATCCTCTTCATATAGTCTTGAATTTCATCTTTATGCGCCATTACACTCTGCGAATTCGTGTATACAATTGATTCCTTCCATGATTGCTACTTATTAGACTCCCAGCCAGCTCTCTTTTTCTCCCCCTCCAATGCTCTGATGAAAGTCGGACATTTTCTACTTAACGCATCATGTTCGTCATTTATCTTCAAGTTGTACGTTTTAATCTTGTGCATACAATTAACACATCTCATCTTTGTTGCCTTACAATCACTTACTTTGTGATTTTCAGCACATTTATGACATGTTTCTTCTCGCTTACAATTTTTAGCAATATGGTAGTACCTTCAGCATTTAAAAAGAAAAATTTTCTTTTTAAAGAAAATTTTTATTTAAAAAATAGAAGAAACAAAATATTCTTCCAACTTCCGGAAACAATTATTTGCAAAAATAATTGTATAACAGCTATTCTCTACACAAATTATATATAGTTTTTAAACTCGAGTAAATTTTCTTTTTAAAGAAAATTTTTATTATGAAATATAAAAATCCTTAATATGAGAAATCTTGGTAATTATGTACTTCACGGACGACTTCACCGATTTCAATGATCTCTACATATGTTGTCAAGCTCACTCTCCTCAGTAAGTCAAAAGGTTTTAAGTGTCGCTATTTATTAAAAAGTTATTAACGAAAAAAGTTTAATGAATATAATATAGTTTTGCGACAGCATGTACATTCAAGAAGTTATATTTCATGGAATATATGTTAAATATATATATAGAAGATCATCATTAAATGTAAAGTAAATTTTGTTTTGTGTTTGCAAAGTACATGCTTGAAGACAGTGTATTCTTTGTATTTTAAAATTACAGTTTAGTTTAAATCAAAATAGGTTTGGATTAAGTTATATCTTCCTGAAATGGAACCGCTCCAAAAGGGGAATGTAGCCACGCATATACTTTACATGGTAAAATGAGAAGTTCACATGGATTTGCAACTTTTCACGCGAAGCAAGGTTTATCTCAAACCAAATTTGCTACGATTTGACCGTTGCTACGGTCGTCAATATTTCAAACAATTTCATCGAAATTAATAAATCACGAAACACAAAACACAAAATATAAAAGAAAAATTTAATTTAGTCTAATATT